TTTGCAAGAACAGCTTCCTTGATTGCTGTTTTGTTGGCCATGATAGTAGCGATGGTTGATTGGGATTTGGTATACAACCTGGCCAGCTCCGAGACACACTCCACTTTCATACTTAGCAATTATCTCTTTCTTCATTTCCATGGTAATTTTCATTCTTTTTTCTGCATGGTTGGCACTAGAAGCTTTCTTGGGGCCTATGGTGACTTATTTTGCAGGTACAGTCGCTAAGAACACTGATAATACAAAATGTACCGAACGTATGCGTGGATGCGATTGCACTGGCTGGCTTGTAAACACTGGGATGCATGGGGCAGCTGAAGCCACATATGGGACGCATCCCGGATGAATCGCGTGAGGCGAGGCAAAATTTTTGCGTTGAAATGTATCGTATGGTAGATTTAACATAACGCGATGCCATTGTAAGGCGGGGGTCCACTGTATAAGACAAAATTCCGCATGCCAAGGGTCTGCTGCGGACATAGCGGCACACCTTCTCTTTCTTCTGACCCTTGGTTGGTACTGAGACAGCTGTAGTCTAGCAGTACCTACTGTCACCCAGAGGGTTACCAATTTGTATTTTAAAGCACTTGAAACAAAAATATGAAAAAAAATATGAAAAATGTCTAAAAATGACAACATCTTATTATTATTTTTACTGTTACATTTTATTATTATTATTACAGTGGTTCCTCGATAATAGTCGGGCTCGATAGTCATCCTTTTCGGAAATCGTCGCATTATTTTAGTCTCCAAACAATGGCTCACAAATGGTCAGTTGACTCGCTAATCGTCGTTCATCCTGGACGCGTACTCACGGCTCTAGCCGCCTCGGCCTCCCTTCCCAGCCAGTGTGTCATTGTTTACCAGTGAGCGACTTGGCTTGTTCCTGTTTTCTATACACGAACAAGAGTCAATAAAGGTAAGTAAGATGTTATATGTTCATTTATCCATTTTATTAGTGCTTTATATTTGTTTGTCATTGTTTTCTGTATGTTTATCTCTGTTTAATCTTTAAAAAAATATTTTTTGTTAATACTTTTGGATTTTTGAAATGGATTAATTGGATTTCCATTATGTCTTATGGGGAAAATTAAATCAGCTAATGTCAAAATCGGTTAAAGGCAAGTTCTCTGGGACGGTTGAATGCTGTTACCTGAGGGTCCACTGTAATTGTTAAAAAAATTATTTTTTTTTTTTGTGAATATTTTTGTCTGGAACAGATTAATTGTATTTCTATTAATTCTTATGGGAAATATTATTTCAGTTTTTGGCCATTTTTTTTTTAGGCTGGGCTTCTGGAATGGATTAAAGCTGATAACCGAGGGTCCACTGTACATGGTCACAATTTTTTTTCTCCTATGCACTGTATGCTGAAGGGTTTGCTTTATGTGGTGCACACTTACTGCCTTGACCCACTCTCATATCTAGGCCCAAATTTACTGCCGACAGCTTATCTGAGTGAGCTGAGCTCATCACATAGAATTAGGATATGGACCCTGGCTTCAAAGCTGTACAACTACAGCATGGACCCTCAAAGGGTTAAAAATGTAAATGTGACGGTTTTCTTTTGTACATCATGTGATAATAAAAAGAATTGTTTTCTTTTCAGTATATTGTGTTCGTGCTTGTAGATAGATAGGTAAGCTTATTTCTTTGTAAAGTTTTTTTTTTTTATTATTAACACACTGGCTGATTCCCACCAAGGCAGGGTGGCCCAAAAAAGAAAAACTTTCACCATCATTCACTCCATCACTGTCTTGCCAGAAGGGTGCTTTACACTACAGTTTTTAAATTGCAACATTAACACCCCTCCTTCAGAGTGCAGGCACTGTACTTCCCATCTCCAGGACTCAAGTCCGGCCTGCTGGTTTCCCTGAATCCCTTCATAAATGTAACTTTACTCACACTCCAACAGCACATCAAGTATTAAAAACCATTTGTCTCCATTCACTCCCATCAAACACACTCACTTATGCTGGCTGGAAGTCCAAGCCCCTCGCACACAAAACCTCCTTTACCCCTCCCTCCAACCTTTCCTAGGCCAACCACTACCCCGCCTTCCTTCCACTACAGACTGATACACTCTTGAAGTCATTCTGTTTCTCTCCATTCTCTCTACATGTCTGAACCACCTCAACAACCCTTCTTCAGCCCTCTGGACAACAGTTTTGGTAATCCGGCACCTCCTCCTAACTTCCAAACTACGAATTCTCTGCATTATATTCACACCACACATTGCCCTCAGACATGTCATCTCCACTGCCTCCAGCCTTCTCCTCGCTGCAACATTCATCACCCATTATTCACGCCCATATAAGAGCATTGGTAAAACTGTACCCTCATACATTCCCCTCTTTGCCTCCAAGGACAAAGTTCTTTGTCTCCACAGACTCCTAAGTGCACCACTCACCCTTTTCTCCTCATCAGTTCTATGATTCACCTCATCTTTCATTGACCCATCCACTGACACGTCCACTCTCAAATATCTAAATACATTCACCTCCTCCATACTCTCCCCCTCCAATCTGATATCCAATCTTTCATCACCTAATCTTTTTGTTATCCTCAAAACCTTACTCTTTCCTGTATTCACATTTAATTTTGTTCTTTTGCATACCCTACCAAATTCATCCACCAACCTCTGCAACTTCTCTTCAGAATCTCCCAAGAGCACAGTGTCATCAGCAAAGAGCAACTGTGACAACTCCCACTTTATGTGTGATTCTTTATCTTTTAACTCCATGCCTCTTGCCAAGACCCTCACATTTACTTCTCTTACAACCCCATCTATAAATATATTAAACAACCACGGTGACATCACACATCTTTGTCTAAGGCCTACTTTTACTGGAAATAATCTCCCTCTTTCCTACATACTCTAACTTGAGCCTCACTATCCTCATAAAAACTCTTCACTGCTTTCAGTAACTTACCTCCTACACCATACACCTGCAACATCTGCTACATTGCCCCCCTATCCACCCTGTCATTCACCTTTTCCAAATCCTTAAATGCCACAAAAACCTCTTTAGACTTATCTAAATACTGTTCAATTATATGTTTCACTGTGAACACCTGGTCCACACATCCCCTTCCTTTCCTAAAGCCTCCTTGTTCATCTGCTATCCTATTCTCTGTCTTACTCTTAATTCTTTCAATAATAACTGTACCATACACTTTACCAGGTATACTCAACAGACTTATCCCCCTATAATTTTTGCACTCTCTTTTGTCCCCTTTGCCTTTATACAAAGGAACTATGCTTGCTCTCTGCCAATCCCTAGGTACCTTACCCTCTTCCATACATTTATTAAATAATTTCACCAACCACTCCAAAACTATATCCCCACCTGCTTTTAACATTTCTATCTTTATCCCATCAATCCCAGCTGCCTTACCCCCTTTCATTTTACCTACTGCCTCACGAACTTCCCCCACACTCACAACTGGCTCTTCCTCACTCCTACAAGATGTTATTCCTCCTTGCCCTATACACGAAATCACAGCTTCCCTATCTTCATCAACACTTAACAATTCCTCAAAATATTCCTTCCATCTTCCCAATACCTCTAACTCTCCATTTAACCCTTTCAGGGTCCGTCCCATAGATCTACGGCTTTACGTTCAGGGTCCAAACCGTAGATCTACGCCATGAGCTCAGCTCACTCTGATAAACTGTGAGTGGTAAATTTGGGCCTAGATATGATAGAATACATCTATGAGGTATGTGTGCACCACATAAAACAAATCCTGCAGCACACTGTATAATGAGAGAAAAAACTGAGACAGTGATTTTCTATTAAAACAGCGACTTTGCAGTGTTTTTCGTATGTTTTTTATAGTTGTGTTTGCGGTTTCTTGGTCTCGTTTGATAGAATGGAAGACATATTACAGAAATAGAGATTATTTTGACTGGTTTTAGCACTGGAAATGACTTGAAACTGAGCTCAAAGTAGCAGACATGTTAAATTTTTGCCGATGTTCAAGAGTAATCAAACGACCTCACACGTCTAATACACGCCAGCTGGTGGGTCTAATATACATTCACAAATGTGGTGATGATATTCATACAATTATTACAATATTGCATAACAGTAAATCTATTTTTTGGTGTGAATGAAAATTCATTATATGAATAAAAAATCAAAATGGAATTTATTTGTAAAGCCTCAAAACGTAACTAATGAACAGAGGAAATGTTAGTTTAGTGCCAGGAATACCTACATTGTTTATTCTGGACCCTATTTTGAAATTGGAATATTTTGAACTTTGTGTTAAATTGGCCAAATTACCAATTTCTGATCACTTTATTTTGTACTTGAAACAGTTGACTTGGTGATTTCTTGTGCTCAATCGATAGAATAGCAGTAATACTAGTGAAATAGCTAACAATTTGGTCGACTGGAATTAAGTAATTGGCCTAAAATGGGAGTCAAAGTCGGCAAAATCGCTGATTCGTAAATATCACTGACACATCAAAATTCGTGAGAGCATAATTTCCTAAATTTTCCATCAAATTTCGTACTTTTTGTTTTATTACCTTCACAAAAAGATTCTCTACCATTTCATAAGAAAAATAATTTTTTTTTTTTTTTTAAATTCTTGGACACTGGGGCACCACTTCAGATTTTGGCCTTGGACCCTGAAAGGGTTAAAGGTTACAATGTGTAATTACAATTTTGTTTTGCTAAGTACAAAGAGAACCTCTATCATGCCGGGGCATTATGGGCAACCTAATCCTAATACATAGTAACTAATTAAAACAAGACAAGATAATAAGTACATAGTAACTATACTTAAAACTAGACAAGAAGTAGTGGTTAACTGATTTACAATTTTATTTAAACTTAATATAAATGTGAGGTAGTAAGGTGGAGTAAGGTTATGTAAAATTATCTTGAAATTGCACACAAATTCTATATTACAAGTAATGGTTCAGGTGGTAATATTTCATGAATTGGTGGAATATTGTACTAAACTCTCTCATGTTTCTGTTTCAGAAGTATTTTGTGGAACACTACCAGGCTGTATCTTCCCAGACAATATATCTTCAGTAGTTCAAGAAGCACCAGTGTTAAGTGTCTTCAACAACAACTGATATTGCAGAAGTGTTGTGTGGAACACTACCAGGCTGTATCTTCCCAGACAATATATCTTCAGTACTTCAAGAAGTATCAGTGTGTCTTCAACAACAACTGATATTGCAGAAGTGTTTTGTGGAACACTACCAGGCTGTATCTTCCCAGACACTATATCTTTTTTACTATAAGAAAGGCAACACTTGTGATTCTTATGAAGTTTTAGCTGGCCAGATATTACTAATTATAACAAGTTTGTTTTCATAATTAAAATTCAATAAAAAAATTGCATGGCAATTCACCAAAAAATACAATTTAGTAATATTATAGTTAAAATTAAAAAAATCTGTTTTTAAACACAAGAGAAAAGAATAAAAATATTCTTCTGTATATATTCAGTGTTTTAGTACATATATAGTGTTGTAATACATTAGTACAGTGTTGTAGTACATATATACAGTGTTGTAGTATGTATATTAGTCTTCTAACACAAAAAAAATCATAGTCTTTAAAGATGAAAATAAACTTTATTAGTGCTCATTGGTAGAAAAAGTTTACCAAAAAGACTAAATCTTGAAATACACTTGAGAGTACATAAGAAAGATTAACTATACCAATGTTGAATGACTAAAATATTTTAAAATGAAGTAAAATATGCAGAAACATAAACCATTTCATTGTTCAGAGTGTCAGAAATGTTTTACTGTAAAAAGCAGTCTTGTGGCACATATGCGAATACATACAGGACATAAACCATTTCAGTGTTCAGAATGTCTGAAATGTTTTACTGTAAAAAGCCATCTTGTGAAACATACACGTGTACATACAGGAGATAAACCATTTCAGTGTTCTGAATGTCTGAAATGTTTTACTGAAAAAGGCAGCCTTGTGACACATATGCGAATACACACAGGACATAAACCATTTCAGTGTTCAGAATGTCTGAAATGTTTTACTCAAAAAGACCAGCTTGTGTCACATATGCGAATACATACAGGAGATAAACCATTTCAGTGTTTAGAATGTCTGAAATGTTTTACTGAAAAAGGCCATCTTGTGTCACACATGCGAATACATACAGGAGATAAGCCATTTCAGTGTTCAAATTGTCTCAGATGTTTTAGTCGAAAACACAGTCTTGTGAGGCATATGCGAGTACATACAGGAGATAAACCTTTTCAATGTTCAGAATGCCTGAAATGTTTTACTCACAAAGGCCATCTTGTGTCACACTTGCGAGTACATAGAGGAGATAAACCATTTCAATGTTCAGAATGTCTGAAATGTTATACTCTAAAAAGCACTCTTGTGATACATATGCGAGTACATACAGGAGATAAACCATTTCAGTGTTCAGAATGTCTGAAATGTTTTACTCAAAAAAGCCATCTTCTGACACATGTACGAATACATGCAGTAGATAAACCTTTTCAGTGTTCCGAATGTCTGAAATGTTTTACTCACAAAGGCTATCTTGTGTCACATATGCGAATACATACAGGAGATAAACCATTTCAGTGTTCAGAATGCCTGAAATGTTTTACTCTCAAAGGCCATCTTGTATCACATATGCGAGTACATACGGGAGATAAACCATTTCAGTGTTCAGAATGTCAGAAGTGTTTTTCTGAAAAAGGCCATCTTGTGACACATATGCGAATACATACAGGCGATAAACCATTTCACTGTTCAGAATGTCTGAAATGTTATACTCACAAATGCCATCTTGTGTCACATATGCGAGTACATACAGGAGATAAACCTTTTCAGTGTTCAGAATGTCCGAAATGTTATACTGTAAAACACAGTCTTGTGATACATATGCGAGTACATACAGGAGATAAACCATTCCAGTGTTCAGCATGTCTGAAATGTTTTACTCAAAAAAGCCATCTTGTGTCACATATACAAATACATACAAGAGATACAGTGGAACCTCGGTACTCGACCCAAAACCTTTCAGGGTCTGTGCCATAGAACTCCGCCAAAATTCTAGCGGCCTCAGATTTAGCACGAGAAGGCTGGTAGGCATACATCTATGAGAATGGGTCTGTGAGGTCAGTGTGCACAGTATATAGAAAATCTGGGCACCCACATGGCATTGTGGGAATGCCACCTCAATATGCTTTGTTTACCATGCCTCCTGGCAATGCAGCTCTCACTCCAAGGCAAATTGGGGCTCTCCTCTTCCTAACTGATAGTTCTGGCACTGATGGAAGTGGATCTGAAGAGGAATTCTATGGTTTTGGTCAATTTGTGACCCAAAGCAGTGAACAAGATATTGAAAATAGTGCTAAAAATCTTGATGACCCTCAACCTTCCACCTTGGGTGCTGGTGTGTCTCAGTCACGTTCAGCTGTACCGTATTGCAAAAGAAAACTAATGTTTTCACATGGCCAGACCTTGGGCATGAGTAATGGTGATTGTGATGTGGACTTTAATTTTATTGCTCTTGATGACCATTTGAGTAGTGCTAGTAATGAATCATATTCACCAGTGAAGCGTCAGTATGTTTGCCACCACATGTGCTCGGGTAGTGTACCATATGCAATTCCAAAGGGACGGGGTACATCCTGTAGTACATCCCATGGCCCTGAACCTGGAATAGACAGTGAAAGTGAGGATGATATGGCTACAGTTGGTATGGATAAACCACAGGCATCAGTAGGTGGTGGTAATGGTGATGCCATGGACACACAGCATGACGTACCAGCCCAGGCCGAGACCCACATGGCTGACTCATCAGATCCAGGACAAAGTGGAGTGTCAACCACCCTCCCCACCACAACCACAACTAGCTTATCTTATCCAGTATCCACCAGCAAACTGCATCTGGGATTGGCAGCAAAATCCCACTTTTGTTCCCAATCCCCATCAGTTTGATGACAGTGCAAATGAACTGGAATTCCTTGAACCATTCTTCAACAAGCACTTGATGGAAAATATAGTCAGGGAAAGTAACAAGTACAGTGGACCCCTGCCTTTTGGCGGCTGCGACTTTTGTGAAATCCGACTTTCTGCAAAATTTTTTGGAAAATATAGCCTTGTGGTTCATGATTGGCCTTGTGATTCAGTGACCATCTGGTATGCGTCCAAGCAAGTGGCATCCCAGCATCAGTTCACACACAAAGCCAGTCTCCCACACCATTCACACTCGGTGTGCCATTGTTTATCAGCGAGTGACCATCACCCCATGGGTTCATACAATACATTTCATAATAATTGATTGTTTTTTGTGCTTGCAACTGCTAAATAAGCCACCATGGGCCAAAAGAAAGCTCCTGGTGCCTGGCCTTTAGTTATGAAGGAAAGAAACGTGATAGAATACAAGGAAAAAACTCGTAGCCAAGTACCAAAGTGGAGGATGGAAAGAGAGGGAAGAATGTGCCTTCAGTGATTTAGTGATTCTATGATATGTACAATACTAAAGCAGCAGATATTGATAAAGGTTATTGCGCCACTCAGTAATAAAGTGTAGCATTAACAGTGTAGAAAGTAAGTTAAGCATTTAAGTAATAGAAAAATAACATGAAAGTAACTCTCCAATGTTATTGGAGGTGTATAGAGCCACTGATCATACACTGCCCTTTTATCTTCCACCACCCTAAACCTCTGCCAGAATCTCCTCCATCAAACTAATCAACCACAACTAGCTTATCTTATCCAGTATCCACCAGCAAACTGCATCTGGGATTGGCAGCAAAATCCCATTTTGTTCCCAATCCCCATCAGTTTGATGACAGTGCAAATGAACTGGAATTCCTTGAACCATTCTTCAACAAGCACTTGATGGAAAATATAGTCAGGGAAAGTAACAAGTACAGTGGACCCCTGCCTTTTGGCGGCTGCGACTTTTGTGAAATCCGACTTTCTGCAAAATTTTTTGGAAAGTATAGCCTTGTGGTTCATGATTGGCCTTGTGATTCAGTGACCATCTGGTATGCGTCCAAGCAAGTGGCATCCCAGCATCAGTTCACACACAAAGCCAGTCTCCCACACCATTCACACTCGGTGTGCCATTGTTTATCAGCGAGTGACCATCACCCCATGGGTTCATACAATACATTTCATAATAATTGATTGTTTTTTGTGCTTGCAACTGCTAAATAAGCCACCATGGGCCAAAAGAAAGCTCCTGGTGCTTGGCCTTTAGTTATGAAGGAAAGAAACGTGATAGAATACAAGGAAAAAACTCGTAGCCAAGTACCAAAGTGGAGGATGGAAAGAGAGGGAAGAATGTGCCTTCAGTGATTTAGTGATTCTATGATATGTACAATACTAAAGCAGCAGATATTGATAAAGGTTATTGCGCCACTCAGTGGCGCAATAACAGTGTAGAAAGTAAGTTAAGCATTTAAGTAATAGAAAAATAACATGAAAGTAACTCTCCAATGTTATTGGAGGTGTATAGAGCCACTGATCATACACTGCCCTTTTATCTTCCACCACCCTAAACCTCTGCCAGAATCTCCTCCATCAAACTAATCAAACTAACATCTCCTCCAAGGTAAGTGTAAATATTTCTTATTTATAAATTACATACATTGTTTTAGTGTGGATAGTGTTGGTGGCTTTAACTAGCACCTCCACTACCACTAATTTGTATGGCTTCTCTCAGTGGCCCTTATAAACCCAACAACACCACCACCACTTACTCCTCACATATGTTATGACATATTTTATTCATTGTAGAGTATATATCACATTTCTATGTTATTAATATTCTTTATTATGTCATATTAGATGAATTGTGATAGAAAAATAAGCCGTAGAGATGATATTAGCATCATATTAAAGCATAATAACTCGCTTCCCTCTCTCCCCTCTCCTACCTGTCTGCTATGCACCAACAAGATTCTCCAGTAAAGGTAAGTGTGATGTTAAATGTTCATTTATCCATTTTATTAGTGTTTTATCTTCATTTGTCATTGCTTTCTGTATTATTTTTATTATTATCACACTGGCCGATTCCCACCAAGGCAGGGTGGCCTGAAAAAGAAAAACTTTCACCATCATTCACTCCATCACTGTCTTGCCAGAAGGGTGCTTTACACTACAGTTTTTAAATTGCAACATTAACACCCCTCCTTCAGAGTGCAGGCACTGTACAGTGGACCCTCGACTAACGCTATTAATCCGTTCCTGAGAGCTCATCGTTAGTCAAAATAATCATTAGTCAAGTTAATTTTCCCCATAAGAAATAATGGAAATCAAATTAATCCGTGCAAGACACCCAAAAGTATTGAAAAAAAAAATTTAACACATGAAATATTAATTTTAATACACACAAACTGAAGAAGACATGCACAGTTACATGGCACTTACCTTTATTGAAGATCTGGTGATGATTGATGGGATGGGAAGAGGGGAGTGTGTTGATGGTCTTAGTGTTTAGAAGGGGAATCCCCTTCCATTAGGACTTGAGGTGGCAAGTCCTTTTTCGGGGTTACGTCCCTTCTTCTTTTAATGCCACTAGGACCAGCTTGAGAGTCACTGGACCTCTGCCGCACAACATATCTGCCCATAGAGGCCTGTACCTCCCGTTCCTTTATGACATTCCTAAAGTGTTTCACAACATTGTCAGTGTCACCATTAAACACTTGTTCAGGTTTCAGTCCTTCACTGTCTATGTACCCCTTGAATTCCTGCACATATTTTTCAGCTGCTTTTTGGTCCAAACTGGCAGCCTCATCATGCCTTATCACACTATGTATGCCACTACGATTCTTAAATCTCTCAAACCAACCTTTGCTCGCCTTAAATTCACTCACATCACCACTAGTTGCTGGCATTTTTCTAATTAAATCGTCATGCAACTTCCTAGCCCTTTCACATATGAACGCTTGAGAGATGCTATCTCCTGCTATCTGTTTTTCGTTTATCCATACCAATAATAGTCTCTCAACATCTTCTATCACTTCCGATCTCAGTTTCGAAAACATAGTTGCACCTTTGGCAAGAACAGCTTCCTTGATTGCCGTTTTCTTGGCCACAATAGTAGCGATGGTTGATTGGGGTTTTGTGTACAGCTTGGCCAGCTCGGAGACATGCACTCCACTTTCATACTTAGCAATGATCTCTTTCTTCATATCCATAGTAATTCTCACCCTTTTTGCTGTAGGGTTGGCACTAGAAGCTTTCCTGGGGCCCATGGTGACTTATTTTGCAGGTGCAATCACTAAAAAGGCTGTGATAATATGAAATGTTCTGATTGTATGCTTGGAAGCGACCGCGGTGGCTGGCTGGCTTGTAAACACTGGCCAGAAGTGGACGCATTTCAGACGGAACGAATAGTGTTGGTCGAGTTTTTTAGAGCTAATCGAGGCAAAATTTTTGCGATAAAATGTATCGCTAGTCAGATTTATCGTTAATCGATGCCATTGCTGGTCGAGGGTCCACTGTACTTCCCATCTCCAGGACTCAAGTCCGGCCCGCTGGTTTCCCTGAACCCCTTCATAAATGTTACTTTGCTCACACTCCAACAGCACATCAAGTATTAAAAACCATTTGTCTCCATTCACTCCTATCAAACACGTTCACACATGCCTGCTGGAAGTCCAAGCCCATCGCACACAAAACCTCCTTTACCCCCTCCCTCCAACCTTTCCTAGGCCGACCCCTACCCCGCCTTCCTTCCACTACAGACTGATACACTCTTGAAGTCACTCTGTTTTGCTCCATTCTCTCTACATGTCCGAACCACCTCAACAACCCTTCCTCAGCCCTCTGGACAACAGTTTTGGTAATCCCGCACCTACTCCTAACTTCCAAACTACGAATTCTCTGCATTATATTCACACCACACATTGCCCTCAGACATGACATCTCCATTGCCTCCAGCCTTCTCCTCGCTGCAACATTCATCACCCATGCTTCACACCCATATAAGAGCATTGGTAAAACTATACTCTCATACATTCCCCTCTTTGCCTCCAATGACAAAGTTCTTTGTCTCCAAAGACTCCTAAATGAACCACTCACCCTTTTCCCCTCATCAATTCTATGATTCACCTCATCTTTCATAGACCCATCCACTGACACGTCCACTCCCAAATATCTGAATACATTCACCTCCTCCATACTCTCTCCCTCCAATCTGATATCCAATCTTTCATCACCTAATCTTTTTGTTATCCTCATAACCTTACACTTTCCTGTATTCACTTTTAATTTTCTTCTTTGGCACACCCTACCAAATTCATCCACCAATCTCTGCAACTTCTCTTCAGAATCTCCCAAGAGCACAGTGTCATCAGCAAAGAGCAACTGTGACAACTCCCACTTTATGTGTGATTCTTTATCTTTTAACTCCACGCCTCTTGCCAAGACCCTCACATTTACTTCTCTTGCAACCCCATCTATTAATATATTAAACAACCACGGTGACTTCACACATCCTTGTCTAAGGCCTACTTTTACTGGGAAATAATTTCCCTCTTTCCTGTATGTAAATCTATATTTAATCTTTAAAAAGATATTTTTTTGTTAATACTTTTGGGTCCATTATTTCTTATGGGGAAAATGGTTTTGCCAGTCGTGAATTTTGCCTTTCAGCAGACTCTCTGGAATGTATTAATCACGAAACTTGGGGCTCCACTGTATTTTGAGTATGCCATGGCAAATACAATCATATCTCCACAATCAAAACTACACTGATGGAAAGAGACAACTGTAGTTGTAATGTATTTGTTTTTTGCAAAAATAATGCTTACGTCTCATGTTTATAAGCATAATATAAAATCATATGAGTCTACAGATCAGTTAATTTCTACCCCCGGCCTTCAGTGAAATCATCCCAGTGAACTGATTTATCTACTGTCATGTATGTTGCACTTCTCTGACAAAACCAGTGTAGACAGCCTGCACTGCCTGCACAGACAGCCTGTGCTGTCTGCCAGCCTAGTTCATATTTTGTGGCACTCAGGTGCTGCCCTCTCTAGGCCTGCCCAGATCAGTGGGACGCTGGTCCCACTCGCTCTCACTCAGCGGCCTAGAATCAGACAACAAATCCTACTCCTCTTTCCCTCGTGGGCATGTCCCTCCCGGGCCATGGGCACAAATGCACAAGCCTGTGTACCCACCATGACTTTGCAAATAAAATAAGAAGCCTCCGAGGCCTTTATCATTACTCCCAGCTACCAAGTTTCATATCGTTCACATTGGTGGGAAGCGGTGGTCGCAGCAAGTGTGTTTGCCCAGAGAGAGGAAGGAAGAAGGAATGAAGCTTGTGTTCACTGCATCACCCTACACAACAAGCATCCATCTCTCAACAAGTTATCCTGATGCCATGTCTGCACGTTTCAGCATTCAGACAGGTACAAGCGGGATCTACCTGAAATTTTCCTCTTCAAGGGGGGCTCCTTGGCGTGGTGAAGAGGCTCTTGGTCTGAGGAATTAGACCTGTCAGTCTCCTTCCTCAGATCGAACCTAATTACCCCCCAATCCCCCCTTCCCTATCCCATCCTCCCCTTTTCCCTTTCCTCCTCCCCCTCCCCACCCATCCTTTTTGCCCTTCCTCTTTTTGGCCTTTGGGATTTTTCCCACAGGCACGCTAGTTCCTAGGTAGGGGAAAGGGTACCAGGGTCCATCCCATTCTGTTGAGGCTCTTGGCAGTGGTGTAGTTTGCCGTGGAATCTGGATCACCTGGGGATGTCCCGATCCCTCTCCAGTATCCTGGAGAGTGGCTTTGGGTGTCTTTTGGGCGACGAGTGTATCTCTGGAAGCCACCTTTCAGATTCCAGGGGCGGTGGCCAAAGGAGGTATGCTTTGTGGCAGATATCCGGCCGCCCTCTCTTTTGTCCATCGAGGTAGCTCGGCAGATGTGAGGTTGCTATCCCAGATTGCTGGTTTACTGGCATGATGGGTAGGATAGGGTATGGCACGGGTTCCATGCTGCATCTATGCTACTTGTGGTGCTGAGTTCCTCTTGGGCACAGAGGGAGATTTCTGGCCCTTTCATTCCTCCTAGGAACTATCCCTCCCCGGTCCCCCCTTTTTTTACTGCTTTTTTTCCTTTTTATTTTCCTTTCTTCTTTTCCTTAAAAACAAAAAGAAAGAAGTAACCTAACCATGGAGAACCCAATCCATGAACCTGCTACCCCCAGGCCCCTTCTTGATACCGCACCCAGTTCTGACCGTGCCTCATCTTTGGACCACTCTTCGGACACTCCTCGTGCCTCTGTACCTCTTGCCGGTGCTGTTTCCTCACCCGCTTCAGGTACTGAGGTCTCGACTGACTCCTTTGATTTATCTGACCTCCGCTCTCCTTTGACTATGCTTCTGGTCTCTCCCTCTATGGTGCGGCAATTTTTGAATTGCCAGCCCGTTCCACGTCGGACCAATTCTGGTCCCACGCCTAAACACAAATGGCAATTACCTGCTGATGATACTTCTCCACCTTCTCGTTCTTCTCAGAAAAGATCAACACATCCTGCACTCCCTTTCCACTCAGTTTCAGACTGCACAATGGACTAAATTCTTCACTTTACGACCAACTTCCTCTACCGCCTATCTTTCCGACCACAGTATTGGCAAGGCACTCCTATGCCATGTTGGTAAAGATATTTCTTTTCATGCTCTTAAGAGTGGTATGCACATCATCACTGTACAGAATGCTACCCAAGCTCATAATCTTTCTATTCTTACACTTATCAATACTATTCCTATTACTATCGAAAAACATCATTTCCTCAATTCTTGTAGTGGTACCGTCATTCTCCCCCATACCATAGTCCAACAGAATTTCCAGACATGTGGCAATGACATTCTCGAACAGCTGGAACTCCAAGATCTCCCAATTATCATGGTAGACACTTACGTCCTTCCTGCCTGCAGGCGGAGACGTTACCCTTACCAACTTCCTCTACTGCCTATCTTTCCGACCATAGTATTGGCAAAGTGCTCCTATGCCATGTTGGTAGAGATATTTCCTTTCATGCTCTTAAGAGTGGTACGGGTATCATCACAGTCCAGAATGCTACCCAAGCTCATGATCTTTCTCTTCTTTCCCATATAGACAGGGCCGGATTGCCGCATAGGCAAACTAGGCATTTGCCTAGAGCCCCGCGCATTTGGGGGCCCCGGGGTCCAAGGGGTTCAGGGGCTCATCCAAGACTGCACACATGGTACAAGTACAAAGGGGTCCCTACCTAAAAAGTTCAAGTGTTTGGAGAGTAAAATTGATTTTTAAAAATTAATCAAAACAAAAATAATGAAATAAAATAAAATAAAAATAAATAAACCTAACTATAGATGGCAACACTCAACACGCCTTTGTTTACATCAGAACAGCTGTGTTTTCCCGCTAATGGGTGAGTATGGGAGATTCCTCTCCAATTTTCTGTAGTAATTACACGTTATCTAGACTTGAACTGTGACAAATTAACTGAAGTGTTGTTGATAGACATTGATGTGTATGGATAAATGTTTGTTTTTGCCTCTAAATTTTAAGGGATGAAGCTTTTGAAATGTTTGAAGAGAAAGCTAAACTGCTGGTGAAAGACTACAGTTACCGGGCTGATCATCAGCGGTCAAGGAAGAGGAAACGCAATTTTGAAGAGCCAGACAATGAAATTGTGTTGCTACCAAGGCAGAAATGTAAGACAGCTACATACTTCGTCATTCTGGATTCACTGATTACAGAATTGGTGAAAAGAAAAGAAATCTACCAGAATCTCAATGACAAGTTTGGATTTCTGTTCAAAATTACTACTATGCCAGATGCAGAATTGAGAGAAGCTGCATAAAAGTTGCAATGACAACTTTCAGCAGATGTTCAGGACACATTTGTTGAAGAAATAGTTAATTTTTCTGGGTATATGAATCAGATTAAAGCTTCACCTGAAAAATGTGCGCCCTCAGCTGCTTTGAAACATTTAAGAAATGCAGGTATCTCAGAAACCTTCCCTAATGTTGACATAGTGTATCGCCTTTACCTAACACTTCCAGCTACTAACTGTGAAGGAGAACGTTCATTTTCTGTTTTGAAAAGAGTGAAAGACCAGCTCCGTTCAACAATGAGCCAAGACAAATTGTGTAACCTAGCCTTGTTGACCATTGAGTGATCTAACCAGAAATATTTATTTTCAGAATATAATTGATGATTTTGCCAATATGAAATCCAGAAAAAAGTTTATTTAAGAAGTGCCTGTGAATATAAACAATTCTTTATTTTCTTGAGTTTATATGATTTGATAGTCTTATGCATGATGCATTGATAACAATAATGGTCAGTGATTTATAAAGGAATAATAGTGCTGTAGTGGTTATGCTGAATATAATAGGTACATGATGTCACTACTTTAATAGCCTAATCTAGTAATACTATTGAGTTTATTCTCTTTAAAATGCATGATTTAACAAGATAGTTATAATGGCTGTTGGTGAATGGTTTGGGTTGTCTTGATGTACTTTCCTATTAAATTTAATCTAAATAGCCAGAATGTATTTAATTAGACCTTAAACAGGCTCACACAGACCCCCCCCCCCAAGCTGGAAGGGGTCGCTTCGCTTACCCGTAACTCAAAGGGGCCCCGCCAATCTGAATAGCCTAGGGCCCGGAGACTTCTTAATCTGGCCCTGCATATAGATACTGTTCCTGTCACTATTGAAAAACATCATTCCTTCAATTCTTGTAGTGGTACCATCATTCTGCCCCATACCATAGTTCAACAAAATTTACAGACATGTGGCAATGACATTCTTGAACAGCTGGAACTCCAAGATCTCCCAATCCTCAAGGTAGACACTTAAGTTCTTCCTGCCCGAGGGTGGAGACGATACCTTAGCAATGTGGCTCGTTTAACTTTTGACAGCCGTGAACTCCAATCCTCAGTTTATGTAGCAGGACATCAGTTACAAGTTGGAAAGGTGATCCCTACACCACAACAGTGTAGAAATTGCTGGTGATTTGGCCATCCAGCAAAATATTGCAGATCCATAGCCGAATGCCCAGTCTGTGGTGCTGATGACCATTCTAATACGTCTTGCAATCGACCTCCCTCTTGCCTTAATTGTCATGAGGCTCACCCTTCATACTCTCGCCATTGCCAAGTCTACTTAAATGAGCAGGAAATCCGTTACCTCAAAGAGGCAGAAGGTCTCCCTTATGCCATGGCAGTTTCTCATCTCCACCTCCGAGGGAGACTACCTCGTGTTTCTTATTCCCGTGTTTCAAAACGTCCCCCCACTTCTGGGGTCCCATCTTCTGCAGCCTCCTCTGTGGTTACCTCTCCCATAGTCACTCCTGTATCTAATTCTTTTGCTTTCCTAGGCTCAGACGTCCCTACTTCAATGCCTCAGTCTGTTCACACTTCTTCGTGTTCTCCCTCACAAGCCTCAGTATCGACGAGACCTTGTGCGACACCTCCCAATCGTCCCTCTACTTCTCAGAAGTCAAAAAAATGTCCTTTAACCCCTCCTTCCCTTCCACCTCATTTTGCTTTCCCTGTCTCTGTACCAGGTTCTTCCCCTCTCACTGGCTCTGTTACAAGTGTAGAGGTTCACCCTCCTCGTACTATACCTACCTCCCCTGTTCCCTCCCAAGTTTCTTCCTCTTCTGCCACCTCCCAGGTTTCTGCCTCTTCTGCCCCTTTCAACGCTTCTTCTCCAGTTCCCTCCACCCTTTCGCCCCCCTACCTTGGTACAGTCCATTACCATTCCAATCTTTACTCATCCTCCCCCTACCATCTCCAATATTGTCTCCCATATGACGTCTCTGAATTCTGAAACACTTGAAGCAATCTCTGAATATATTGCAGAGACCAAACCATCAATGGATACTGATCCACCCTCTGTTCCTTCTCTCTCCTCTCCTCCATCTGCTCAACTCCTTTCTTCAGAGCGCATCATTCCTTCGCCGCTTGAACGTTTTCTGCTGCCTCCGCATGTGGACTTTTCTAACCCCTCTAGTCTGTAGGAACCCTTACCTGCAGATTTCAAGTATCTTTATCATTGCCAATCATGGCCTATTTACAGTGGAATATATGCGGCCTCAGGGGTAATCGAGGTGAGCTTCAGATGTTACTCTCCCAGTTTTTCCCTGTTGGTGTTTGCTTACAGGAACCAAAATTACACTCTGCTGTTATCTCTCCCATCTCAGGCTATAATTTATTGCATTCTTCAGATCCTTTTCCTGATGGGACCTTTAATGAAAGTGCCCTTCTTCTATGCACTGATATTCCGTACATTCAGCTATTTGTTCGTACTTCGCTGCATTACACAGCAGCCCGTATCCACTTGCATAGGTGGTATACGCTCTGTTCTTTATATCTCTCCCCTTCTCGGGCATTATCTATTCTGGATATTGCCTTTCTTGTTTCGTCATTACCACCACCGATTCTGTTACTTTGGGATTTTAATGCCCATCATTTCCTCTGGGGGGGGGGGTCTCACTGTGATTCCTGTGGCATTCGGTTAGAGGCTTTTCTTGCCACCCACCCCCTCCATGTTTTAAATACAGGTACTCACACCCATTTTGATCCTTGAACTCACACTCTCTCTTACATCGAACTCTCGGTCTGCTCTTCCTCCGCTGCATTAGACTTCACCTGGTCTGTTCTCCCGGATTTGCATGACAGTGATCATTTCCCAATCATTCTTACTTCCCCTTCATATTCACCACCTCTTCGTATCCCACGCTGGCAATTTAATCTGGCAATTGGGACCTTTGCTCACAACTGTTTTTAGTGAGGTTCCTTCTTCATCCTCCATTGATGAGCTTTTTCACCTCTTCTCGTCCTCCATTTTAACCGCAGCTTCTCATTCTATACCCCAAACTTTGGGCAGGCATTCTCAGAAATGCATGCCTTGGTGGTCTCCTGCTTGTGCTCATGCAGTACATTTGAAACGCGCTGCATGGGGCAGGTATCGGTACAATAGAACCACGGAGAGACTTCTTGATTTTAAACAGAAGCGTGCGATCGCTCTCTGTGTCATCCGTGATGCTAAATGCACTTGCTGGTGAGATTATGTCTCCATTATCATCTCTGCTTCCTCTATGAGTGCAGTCTGGAAAAAAGTACAAAAACTGAGTGGTAAATATTCCCCTGACCCGGCTCCTGTTCTGCGGGTTGCCGGTGTTGATATAGCAAACCCGCTAGATGTTGCCAATGAAATTGGCATTCATCTGGTCTGTATTTCTCAGGGGCTCAATCTATGCCCCTCGTTTCTTTCCTCAAAGTCTGCCAGAGAGTTAGCACCCTTGGACTTTTCTTCTCTCAGAGAAGAACAGCATAATGTGCCTTTTACACTTCAAGAACTGGAGGCAAGACTCTCAGCTTGCTGATCATCGGCATTCATATTCGTATGCTACAACATTTACATCAGTCAGCCCTTGCAGTCCTATTATGCCTTTTCAATCTTATTTGGTCACAAGGAGTTCTTCCAGAGCTGTGGAAATCTGCCATTGTTCTCCCTTTCCGCAAACCAGGCACTACGGGACATGATGCCTCCCACTATCGTCCCATTGCTCTTACCAGTGCAGTTTGCAAAGTGATGGAACGCCTGGTAAATAGACGTTTAATGAGGTATTTAGAGACACAACAGTCTCTCCACTCGTCAATATGGCTTTTGTAAGGGACGTTCTACCATAGACCCCTTACTACACTTGGATATGTATGTTCGTAATGCCTTTGCTAATAACCACTCAGTTATTGCCATATTTTTTGACCTTGAGAAGGCATATGACACAACTTGGAGGTATAATATTTTAGCCCAAGCCCTCTCCTTAGGCCTCCGAGGCAATCTACCATCCTTCCTCAAGAACTTTTTAACTGATAGACATTTAACTAATAGACATTTCGGGTTAATAATGTGCTCTCCCCAGACTTTATCCAAGCTGAAGGTGCCCCCAGGGATGTGTTCTGAGCACAAAACTTTTTCTCCTTGCTATTAATGATTTGGCCTCTAGTCTTCCATCAAATATTTGGTCATCACTCTATGTTGATGACTTCACTATTGCCTGTGCAGGCGCTGACTGTCACCTCATTACAGTTTCTCTCCAGCATGCGGTCGACCGTGTTTCCAATTGGGCCACCATACATGGGTTTAGATTTTCCAGCACTAAAACCCACCAAATTACTTTCACTAGATGCTCTGTCATCTCCGATCATCCTTTGTACCTCTATGGCTCCCATATCCCTGAACGTGATACAGTGAAGTTTCTGGGCCTCCTCTTTGACCGTAGGTTATCCTGGAAACCTCACATTACCTCTCTGAAGGCAACTTGTCACAGCCAGCTGAACCTTCTTAAAACCCTTGCTCATCTTTCATGGGGAGCAGATCGTCGAACCCTCCTTCGCCTACATTCCACCCTCATTTTATCGAAACTTGATTATGGTGACCAGATCTATTCAGCGGCATCTCCTGCTACTCTCTCTAGCCTTAACCCCATTCATCACCAAGGATTACCTTTATGCCTTGGTGCTTTTTGCTCTTCCCCTGTTGAGAGCCTCTATGCAGAAGCAAACGCTCCATCCTTATCCGATCGCCTTGATGCCCATTGCCTTTGCTATGTACACTCTCATGATCTCCGCAATCCTTCCATTTATAGAATGGTCACTGATGTTAGTAGACATTCTTTATTTGTTCGCCGCCCCTGTTTACCCCGTCCCTTCTCTCTTCGCCTTCATTCGCTCTTGTCTTCTCTTCAATTACCACCTTTCTATGTTCATGTAGCGTCTCACTTTTTCCTACCCCCCTAGGAAGTTCCAGCTGTTCGAGTCTGTTCTTTCTCTCTCCCTTGCTCGAAAGCCCAACTGTCTACGGTCGCTTCCCACTCTCTTTTTCTTGACCACTTCCACTCATTCTCATGCCATTGCTGTGTACACAGATGGCTCTAAGTCTTCTGACGGCATAGGACTCGCAGCAGTGTTTCCAGAGAGCATCGTATGAGGGCATTTACTATCTTCAGCTAGTATTTTTACTGCTGAATTGTATGCCATCCTTGCAGCACTTATCCGTACTGCATCTATGCCTGTGTCATCATTTGTGGTTGTCTCAGACTCCCTTAGTGCTTTACAGGCTATACAGAAATTTGATACACCTCACCCCTTAGTCCTCCATATCCAACTTTGGCTATGCCATATCTTTACCAAGCATAAAGATATTGTTTTTTGTTGGGTCCCTGGTCATGTTGACGTACAGGGCAATGAACAGACAGACACTGCTGCGCGGTCAGCAGTACATGACCTACCAGTTTCATATAGAGATATTCCATTTACGGACTATTTTGCTGAAATATCTTCCCACCTTCACACCCGTTGGCAACAACATTGGTCTACTATGCTCGGTAACAAACTTCAATCTATTAAACCGAGTATAGGTTACTGGCTGTCTTCTTATCACCAGTGTCGAGGTTGGGAGACTACTCTCTCCCATCTTCGCATTGGCCATACTCGTCTTACTCATGGAGAGGCACCCTGCTCCTCTCTGTGA